GCTACTACAACTACTTCTACTACTGCTACTACTACTACAACTACTTCTACTACTGCTACTACTACTACAACTACTTCTACTACTGCTACTACTACTTGTTCTACAAGTACAATCACTACTACTACTACATGTCACTGCACTGCGGCCCTACCTTGCGGGACAAAGCCTTCTCATACTGCGGCCTCATGGTGGTGTAGAGTCTGTGGTAACCGGCACCCACTGGGCCGCTGAGCACACACAAAGCAAACACAACATTTTAGTTTTAGTAAGAGTTTTACAGCACTTGCAACACAATAAGGTCATATAAATGCTGAAGATTAGAGGTGTTACAAGAGAGTAACAAACACAAAAAGAGGAGCGGAGATAAAGACGATAGATGTTTGATAGGAAAGAAGGAGCAAACCACACCAGAGCACCCGCCATCCGCCCACAGACAACATGTCAAAATACAAACAAAAAACCAACAAAAACCGAGTGCTATATCTTCTCCATACACACATTATATTATGAGAGGCAGCAGCGTGGTGAAATCAGGCACTCGTCAAAATAATGAAATCAAAGAAAACCGTAACGGTATTTTTCTCCACATTTGGCAATTTTTATCGGATTTCTATTTTTTGGCTCAACAGCTTGTACGTCCATTCAAAAACATTTTTACTTCTGAAACCAGGCGACCCCCACCTCCTTCCATCGCAAATGTATCGACTTCTATTCATGATAAAAAGGATACTTTTTTTCACTGAAAGCAAGACAAATGAACAAGATTTCAGATGACACCAATAACTCCATATGCCCAAAAATTGACGAGCGCCTGATTCCACTGTGTCGTGACACATATTATTTGTTTTTGTTTTAGTGGAGGTTTTACGGCGCTTGCAACTGAATAAGGTCATATGAGCACCAAGGGGTGGATGTCAATGGAGAAGTCCTTACAGGGAATCAGGCTTACTCTGCTCACCTCTCTAGCTTCAACAGCACCAAGTCTGCTTCGACTATCAAGGCACCCCGGAAATAGCAGGTCACAAGAGTGACAAACATACAAAAGAAGTAGAGGGAAAATGACGATAGTAAGGATGAGGAAAGAAAAAGCAGCAGTTCCCTGTTGCAGTTCAGGCACAGTTATGAGCATGACATTGATGAATCAGCCCATATGATTGTGTTCCCCTCCACCGCTGGCACCTCACAAGCTAGAGGGTTGGTGGGTGGAGGAGGTGTCATGAGACTATTTATAGATTTCTAGCCCCCCGGCCGGCTAGAAGCACCCCTCCTCACCTGCAGACGTCCCAGGTCAGGGCCTTGGCAGCGATGTGCAGGGCGGTGCGCACCGCCGGGGTGTTGAGGTAGATCTTTGCGCTAGTCTCGTTGACGCACGGTGGAGACACGCCCACGTTCTTTGCCGAGGCCAGCTTCAGCATGGTCTGAGGAACAGAGACAGAGAGACAGATGTAGAGAAAGATACATAGAGAAAGACGAAAAGAAAGATACATAGAGAAAGACATAGAGAAGCAAATCGGTGCAATGAGTAGAAAAAAAAATATATTACTGATATTTCTATAATTAATTTTGTTCTATTCAAGGTAAACAATACTTAAAGAGGACATCGGTGGATTTCTCAGAAATAAATGACATCTTTTTTTCTTTATCTTAATCAACCCGTTTACAATTCTACTGTGCATAATAAGAACATGTTAATGTCCCCCC